ATTCTCAATTTACTCTATTTCATAGTATAATTATCTTTTATTAGGAAAATCGATAATCAAGTAAATCACTTTGTGGTCGATGGAATCATGCAGCAGTTAACAATAGTCGACAAATGAATTTAGCAAGTAATTCATCGAACAGTTTTTGACAGGCAATTAGAATTCCTCTAACCCTATCTATTTGCATATGGGTAATAATAAGATACAAAGTTTATGATGTTTTGGATTATTTTCCACTCTTTAAAATTTTATATTACGCTTAGTAATAACTAATTTGTGTATCATTAATTTATTAACTGTAATTTTTTTCTATATATAATTTAATAAATCAATCTCACGAAATAATATATTGATAATCGCGAGATTGATATTACAATTGAACAATAACTTCATTCGATTCACATTTCTTTGAAAATCATATCGATTTGTTAAATTAATTGAACATTTGAAGAAGGAAGCCTCACTATCGAGTTCACATTGATAGATGTCAAATGTGACTTTTTATATTGACTCAACTGTGGACTTTACAGTCATCAGGTGAATTAAAGAAAAGAATATATATTATTTTGTCACCTGAAGATTATATAATATAATCTTCAGGTGAATATCAACCAATACCTTAATATATTAATTTAAAAATTTTGAACAATCTAATAGCTGATTTTTATCTCCAATTGTAGGTAACTGCATCATTTCAAGTCACCTCGTAAATATTTTTAAAACTTCACAGTTATAGTGAAATATACTAATGTGTGTATAGTCTTTAATAAATAAAAATCTAAGTCATCACATATATATTTTGATAATTCGTTCATTTAAAAATAAATTTACTTTATTTGTCAAAAAATAACACCGCCCATATATAATCTAGATGGACATAAATTCGTCATTCATTCATATCTAAATCTTAACGAAACAAAATATCTAACAATTTTTCAAGTTCATCCGGCGAGCCCCTAAAAATAGGCCGGGAGCCAAGAGCATGTCAATCGCTTTGTATGCTTTAAATTAAATATACGCCGCTATACATGCGCGACTACATCCCGGGGCGTCGATATCAACGCGATAGAAGCAATTAGTTGAATCCTGCCAGTCATCAGTCCGGTAGCGAGCGCGATTAGAACCTTCTTTTTCTTTTTAATTCAATGTATTCAAATTGGCTACCTGAATATTGTACCGGGTCCTTTGTGTATCCACTCTGTGAGTATGGTTAGCAAAACAAATGATAATTTCTAAACTATGTTCGACTGTTTTTTTTTATGTACCGTCAACATCACGTCCACTATACAGACTGTCAAATTTCTCCACTTGATTTTAAACCATAATGATTTGTGGGTAGAGTTTAAAATGAACTGGCAACAATACACTACAAGAGATCAAATTTATCCAATCGATTTCAAATCTTGATCTGTTCACAGTTATGTTAAAAAACACACGTATACGACTTAAGAGTATAAGCGTACTCTTAATGGGAAAAGAAAAAGTACAACAAGATGTTATTCACTGCAGACAGTGGCGGTTATTTATTCGGAAACCGTTACATATGAATATTGTCTATTAACATAAAAAATAAAATAATTATGTTTTGTTGTCACTTAGTTAAAGAAAAACATTATTTGGTCTTCATTTTTTTTGCTCTCAATCTATTTCACAAGTGATGTGAATAATACATCCTCCAAACTTAAAATATTATAGAAGTTTAAACAAAAATATTTAATTTACTTTAATTCTTAATGTTAAAGATCTAATTTAATAAATTTGAGTATCAAAATCATCGCATTTCGCGCTGCATAGTGCAACAAAGTTGAGCAACTGTCATTAATGCAATAAACAAGTCAAATTCCAAGCTCTGCAGCGTCAGTACCACATAAGAAATGTTGATTAATTGAATCACTACGAAAAATGACTGCAAGCTTATTGCAACATTTAATTAAATATAAACTTGCTTGTTACTCTCGCGCCGGTCTGTAAGTTTATGCAACAGCCGCATATATCGATAGCGAGCTCCCGATCTAAGTTGTCTTGAAACAAATTTGCAAATTAGTTATCATTCGTATATTTATTAATCAAATCCTCCCATCTGACGAAAATTCAATAGACTTCAAGGACCTCAAATTTTTTTTATTTTTATTTAATTAGTTTTAATATGTTACAATGATCAACTTTTAATCTTAGTTATCATAACTATACTTCACATAATCTATCGAAATTTAGTTAATCTATAAATTTTATAAGTTGTTATTTACTTTGTAAACAACTCGTGTTGTTCTTTTTGTATTAAGTAATTATGGGTACTGGTTGTCTAAAATATATTGTAATATCTTTAACATTGAAATGTTGTTTAATGTCTGTTTGTGCCAAACAAAACAGGTTTTATTTAAACAAAAAAATAATTTTATTGAAACTCGTATAACATTTTATATATTATATTCTCAAACACACAGAAATCATTGGAAAGTATTAACGCAATCTTTTGTTTTCTTCGCCCTTGTAATTAGGGCTTCCATGCATTCGGGGTTTTCTTGCACTTGTCGTAGCATTAACACCCGTATCTATAGTCGAGACAAGTAATTACGTGAGAAAATGTTATTAATTACTCAGATATTATTTACTAATAGACGAGAATTTGAACGAAGTAAGAATTGTTAATAAGTAATAATAATAGTATTGTAATTATTAACAGTTCTTACTTCATTCAGATGGGGGTAATGAATGGGTATTAAAAAAATATTAGATACGTATTTTTTGCTTCAATTTGACATGATATTATGGCTTAGATAATAGACATTAAAGTTGAGGAGAAAGGTGTGACGTCATACGACATTTCAACTCAATGTCGCACCGTAGTTTAGTGATTACGCAAAAAAAAAAACAAAAATACGTGTTTAATATTCTTTAATAACCTCCCCGATGGACAGACGAACAAAAAATTAGTCATCATCCTTAATCTTATTTATTTGGGTAAAAATATTTGCTTAAGTAATTAGTTACTCTCGACTATAGATGCGGATGTAAAAGCGCATGGAGTGCGTCTACTTTTTCGGACGTAATTTGACATTTGTCCGGATTGAAAATTGTATTTACATATTTATTTATAGATTTTTATAGAAGGAATAAAACCATAAAAAAATAATCAATTGGTGACGTAGATAAGTTCTTTTGTTATGAAAAAAAAATGAAGTATGATTGATTTATAAAACGTATAATTATTTACTTAATTATAAAAAAATATATGACAACATCACATACATTCCTCAGATTCCAAGATGAGCAGCTAAAGCTAGCATTATGGAGTATCTCAGACAATAAAGTACCATAACAGACCCGAGATAAGATACTTAGTAAAGTTCTATTTCTACATTGAGCCGACTGGAAATCGAACTTGGAATTTACTATTTCTGAGAACTACTTAAATAAAGTTGACACTTAACTTTAAAAATTTTGAAAATATGTAATGCAGTATACATTAATCGACATTAGCTTAACATTATCCCTATTGTTAGGTCACAGGTCTTCCCTATAGAATAAGCAATACCCCGTGTGTACCCAGTGCGGATTGGGTACACACGGGGCGGATTCCTGAATGAATTATTAACTTTTTGCAGTATCATCATCATCACCAGCCCTTTTACGTCCCCACTGTAGGGGATAGTGATAGTTATTTAAACTACTAAATAACCTATAATATGGTTGTTGTTATGAAATTGGTATATTGCCAAGATAATTGTCTACCTATCGTCCATTATATTATTTCACTGAGGAACTTTAGAAGCATGTTTTTCCCATCGTAGTGTATGAATTTCAAAAGATATTTCTGTGAAGATTTTTTCTTAGTGCATTATATTAAAATGATTTTGGCGCTCGGGGCAAATGACCCTTTTTCAAAAATGCAAAAATTAATTAAGTACCATTTAATTATATCAGTAGGAATTTCATTTTAAAATTATAATTTATATTTTTTTATAAAAAAGAAGAATTACTACAGTGAATACCCTAAATTCCTTCCCTAAGGCCATACTACTTTTTTCTTAGATTCTAAATATACTAAAATATAAATTTCATAAATAAAAATAGACATTATATTCTCAAACACAGCAATTCCAAATTATAGGATTGGTAAGTAAATAATTATTGAATTTAATAAATTAATGCATAATTCTTAAAGATCGTAGCTATAATTAAATAGTCAAAATGTTTTATTTAAACACCACTCAAACTTCAACAACTAGGAAGAGATTTATGTTATGTTTAATAGAAGAAAAAAAATAAGTATTTTATTTTTCAGTTTACTTGTCTGCAATCTTTTTAGCAATATCGCTATTATAATTTAAAATATAATATTTCATTATAAATATATTGTTATTTCAATATTGAAATGATGATACCTACTTCTCCCTATCGTATCGTAATGTATCGTGGTAAACAAAATTGTAACAATAAGTAATTAAATTCCAAAATAATTATTACCAACGGGAATCGTTAGTAGAATAAGACAAGGCACCAATATTGTTAATAAAAGACTACAGATATGTTATTTACTATGCAATCAAATATTTATACTAGTTAATCATTCACAAAACGCCAACATTACATTAATGGAACAGTTCAGCATAAAGAAAAACAAAATAAGGCGGCTATCAAAACTTCATGTTTTATTAGTCAGTTGTTATAACCGGCTGCAAACATAAATTTATGACGTGTACCTTCAATTAGCGAATGTGGGAGGCTTCGCGGGACGAGCGGCCGCCATCTAGCGGGCGTCACCGCCCACCACCCGCCCGCGGCACCCCGCATACATAGCTTATGAATATGAGGCGTTATGATTATGAAATTATGCCCCGCCCCGAATATGGAATATGGTGGGGGAGGGGGGCCTTGCACCGCGTGCGAATGGGCGAAGTTTGATTTATAGAGACGGGCGCAGCCCCGCCTCCCTGTCATAACCGCGTACCTGGTGCGCGCGCGCGCCGCCGCCCGCCGCCCGCCGCCGCCTCGCGCTCAGTCCCGCTTCAGATGGCGAGCGGTGCGCCCGTGTACAGTCCGCGTGTCCGCACCCCGTACGCGAGCGCGTAGTATCCCGCGAGCCGAGACCCCGCGAGTGACATCGGCGGAGTGCCGCTCCCAGCCGCCCCTGCCATGCGCCGGCACTGAGCCAGCGCGCACCACCATGCCGCGCGTTAAGCCTGCCTGCGTCCGACGCGTCTCCATCGGTACTTAACACCATAGCAAACAGCACAACACGCATTACATTGGAACAGTGAATGACATACCCGGTGATATAACACGTAAAGTTGCGGTTCGCCCTCGTTTCGGTTGTTTGAGAAAAATGATTCAGTTAGCGACGATAAAATTCGGCATACACCAGAGGGCGAGAGCTAAAGCTCGGTGCCAGCGCGGTGAGTAAACAGTGCAGTGAATTTTCGGACTGATTGAGCTTTTATTAGAAAATTAACGTGCGGCACGTAAAATAAACAATGTGTTTATAGGCTTAAGTGTAAAGGGGATGTGTCTAAACGATTTTTCAAAGAAATATTACATACGACTACTGAAAAAGTAAAAAGAAACTGTTAAGCCCTTTTTTAGTATGATTATGGACTGTGAGACCGACAAGGAAATGAGTTGTTTGTCAAAATAAATGCAAGAAAAAGCTTTTGTAGAGTTTACACGGTGAATAACTTCTTCGCGGAAATAAAGTCTGAACCTTGACTAAAATAAACGCTCAATTCTTTACGACATTTAATGAATCTGTAGAGTAAAAAAAAAATAAGTGCACATTTAAATATTTTTGTAATATATTACCGCTTTTTTTAATATTTAATAGCTTTAAAATTACTTTACAGTTCTCAGTACTAAAAATGCCACGAAAGTTACTATTTTGTAATTTTCAAATTATAATAATTTGTTCACAAAATTACCCTTATCAAAATGCGCTATTCTTGAGTTCTAAACTAAAAAAAAAAATTATAATGAGATAAAAAAATGAATCTGAATTTCCGGAATCAACAAGTCATATAATCTGTAGCCGAGTAGTCAGAGGTGTAAACTCGCAATCAGACTGTCTCGTTTTCGATTCTCATCAGAGGCAATTATAGAAAATGAACAATCTTGTTTTGTTTAGAATTTATTCTATACGTTAAAATGTCAAAGTTTTGCGTAAAATTATTTTTATCGTTTTATGCTAACTTTTATATTAAATCTCTTAGGCAGTATTTGCTTTTTTATGAACAATTTTGTGAAACTTGAAAAATACACAGTGGAGTTACTTAATTCTTTACGAAGTTTTTGTGTATTATTTCAACACAGTCAACGAATAATTGTAAATAATAATTTCTATTATCTTTTTTTTAGGTGATAAACGGTTTCGATATCTTTTATTTCAATAATTTAATTATAGTAGTTGAGAAATCACAGTCTATATACCAAATATTTCATGAAAAGCATAATCTTGTTACCTTTTTTCTATTCAACCTAAGACTCATTTTTGTTAACATGTACGTAACCAAAACAATTACTTTAAGTGCGTTTACACATTTTGTATTTTCTCAAACAGTTCACAAAGTCTAAAACTTACAAAATAATTCTCATATTCAGTCAAAGTGAAACCGGCATTTTTAGACACGCTGTCAAATTTTATTATAACGACCGGCACATCGCCTTATCGAGGACCACTTTTCCGAGTGCTCTATAAAATATTATTACACGTTTTATCTGTTTACGATTGGAACTGCCTACCGGTTCATATTATTATGAAATATATTCACTATATGCGTGTTTGTCACATTAATAAATTCGGATAACTAGTCGCGACACGGACAGGTTCTCATAGTTACTACAAAGTCGTATTATTGATATGCATACTGCGTCCATTCGCCTTGAATGATGAATAATAATTAATAGTTAACGATTAAAACATATACTTTCTGTTAGTTGATAAATTAAAACCGTACCACAATTATAACGTTACGATTAGTTTTACGACTGACTTTTTATATTTCCTATCCACATGTTTCAAAGTTGACATTTATCATAGATATTATACACTTTGCGTTAAGTAAATTTAATAGGTGCCTATTTATTGTCGGAGTTAATTTATTGCTCCTACTCTAATAAGTATATTAACGTTATATATAATATAACACTCTTTTTTAAGTAGTACTTGTAAATAGATAATTGGTAGTAAGTATTCGGAGTCCAAATTAAAAAGGTTTTATGTAAAACTATTTTAGTGGATTTCAAAATATTTATCTTGTTTTTTAAAAGAGTCAAATTTGTTCAGACATTTTTAGGTAAATTTTTTCGTCCATTTTACTGTTTGGCTATTAATAATAAAAAAAAAAATACTGTAACCTTGATTTGAAAAAAATATTTACATTAATTTCAGAGAAATTTAAATGAAAACTTATATTAACCTACTCTTTGGTAAATTCCAAAATAATATTTTTCATATTTACAATGAATAGTCTACAAAAAAAAATGGGACAGGTAGGATATTTATTTTGTATAAACATTGTATAACGATATTGCGACCGTTGGTCGGCACGCTTAATACCACAATGGCACTTTAGAAACAGACTTTTTTTTTACATTTTCTGCGTAACGCGGCGGCGACAATCACCGCAGGCTTTTGTATGATATCTTCAAATGATTACAAACACCACTAATCCTTCCTCTAACAAATATTACACTAAGCACCGGCATTTCGCTACAAATGAGACATATAATCTCCGGCTGCAACATTACACCATTTTGTCACTAACTTTTTCGTTCTAATTTCAAAACATCATAAATAACACAAAAGAGTTTTAAAATTCTTTTTTTTCTTTCGAACGAACATCACCGTTGACACAAAGGAATTTTTAAAAATATTTTTTTTATATCATTTTAATATCAAAACGAGTTTTTAACCAAATAGATATTTTACATTTTGAAATAACATATCGGAGAAAGTTTGTTGATTTGATAAGAGAATACGTGGTCTGCGTTGAATATGTTATTTGTATGATTATAGCCCTATTAACGGCTATGTCACAACCAGATAACATAATCATTTTAAAGTATGAATATTTTGAATGTTGAAATTATGTGGTTCCATATACATGATATTATAAAGCCTGTTATGGAGGGCAACTTTAAAATACCATAGATAATGATCCAAACAGTTAGTTGTTTATGTTACAGTTTCTCATATTGTTTTACTTTATCAAGCTTATTGACATTTATTTAAAGAAAACATTTAATAGTACAAAAACCTAGTTCTTAACTTTCTGACTGCCGACTCAAAATAAAATATATTTGAAACCCTGAGTCTGATTAATTTTCGTGTCAGTAATAAAATAATGGAATTAACTGAAACTTTATGGTTTGCTTAAAGCGTTTTCTATCAATTATTGCGATCCATCTTACCCGAGGTTAGGAATCGCTGTTTCTATATTAAAAAAACACATTAAAATTAAAATTCGGTATGTATCGTTTGATCAGTCACCATTATTAAAAAAACAATTAAAAGGAGTCGAGAAGCTTCGCTAACAATTCATAGTTACAGCTGCCTTGTGGTGAGAAGAACCGGCAAGAAACTCGGATACCTATATGTTTTTTTTTTCACCTGTACTATTTCATATACAATTAACACATTAAAAAGTTATTTTAACAAAACAGACTTTCTTTTACAATAGTTAATTAATTTTAGAAAAGGATTCCATATACAATTAACACATTAAAAAGTTATTTTAACAAAACAGACTTTCTTTTACAATAGTTAATTAATTTTAGAAAAGAATATAGTTCACTACAAAACCTGTTATTATAGATTTATATACTAACTTGGACATTTAATATCTGGTAAGCACCGATCTTAAAATTAATTTGATAAGATCCTTTTTGGGGTGCCTAAGTATTTAAAATAAAATATCTGTGAAGTTCTACCAAAACAACGGAAATATTTCACGCACGCTCACAATAAAAATATAAGTATAATTATATGTAACTATTGCTAGAGAAATTCAATAGTGTTGCTAAGATTTCAATAAACATTTATAAAAAAGAAATACTGCTTTCTTCTTTTTACTATAGTTATTAAAACTTTGGCATAGGGAAATTGGTAGTAAGTGAAATTAATTTCCTTGCCTTATACTAATTTGAAATATCATTAAAAATACCAATGAACGTTGATCACATTTGCTTTAACATTAAATATTAAAAAAAAAACCGTTTTAATATCAAAGTTTGTTAAAAATAGTTAATTATTACGTCAAGAAAACTGTAATTATTTCTTTTGTAGACCAAAATAGAGATATTTTACATAAAAACCATTCCTTAAGTCCTGGGGCTCGATTCCGACTGCATAATTGTATTTTTCAGTTCATACACAAAGTATTAGTGACTAGCTTTCTACCATCGGCTTCGCTCGCGTGGTCCATATAAACTTCACCCACCTATTTCACCCCCTTTGGCGCTGTATTTCTTAATGGTCATTTGTATCATGAAACCTCTGTACCAAATTCCAAGTTTCTAAGCATAGTAGTACTAAAATCAAAATAATAAAAAAAGAGGTACCAACCACTTATTTTCCATACAACAAAATAATACTGATAATACCTATGCATTATAATTTGTATTAATTATTTTAATGCAGATACTTCGTAACACATTTGTACCTATTCATAAACAAAACGACACGTGTAAATAAAAAATTATATTTCGTTTCTGTTATTGTGTAACCCAAATAGTAGACGTTACAAATCATAATATTAGAATGAAAATTATACATAAAAATTAATATGAATTGTTGTAGGGGACTCTATAATTCCTACATTTTAGACAGAATTCTATATGAAATCGACTTGTTTCGTTATCTGTGTTTATGTTAACCAATTAAACTACATAAAACTTAGCATAAGCCCATTTTTGTTCCTATTTACTTAAATACATAAAAGTATATATAATTACATCCAATATATTTTGTATTATAAATAAATTTAGGTTGCTACGTCGTGATTTTTATATAATAAAATTACTTTGTTTTTTTTACGTAATTAGAACAACTGCCATAACCTATTACATTGTTTTGTTACCTGTATAAATGTACTAATAACTTTTTTAATTAGTAACCTAAGACTATTGATATTTAAACTTTCTTAAAATCTGACAATACTGAATCAATTAGATTATATTTAACACTTAACAATAAATCAGAGCTTAAAAAAAATTATCTACTCAAAATATCGAAATAATAAGTAAGTTGTATTAAGTATTTTAGGTAGCAATTTGACAAAAAAAAATCATTTAAATTACAAATAAAACAAATAAATTCTTGCGTACAATAATACCAATAGGTAATCATACAAGTAATAATAACAAATCAGTTAAAAAAGCCTAAACTATGACCCCATTTACTAAAAAAAAAAGATTAAAGCAAATACAGAATTATGAGGAGAAGCCTTATATAAAAATGGTTAATCATTAGTCTAAACTGAATTATTAAAGAAATAATAAGTACAGTAACTAAGCTCTAGAAGTTATTTACTTAACACAATATATATAAATATTTACAACAATAATATATTTTTAATGAAACTTTAAACAGTCAGATCATACCAACTAAATCGCTAGTACTATTAGATATAACTAGTTTAATAAAAATACAATATTTACTGGCTCTTGAGAGTATAGTACTCATAGAAAACTGTAATTCTAATTAATGTACATAATTTTCTAACTGTTTATTTTATAATATATAATGCATAAAACATGCGTTCATTTCTAGATGCTAAATGTGGATAATTGTAAATGTCTTAGTTTATAGTTTATTATAAACGTATGTGGTCCAAACAAAATAGATAAATACGTGACTGAATCATCTAAATCATATAAATACAATCTCTTTAAATGAGAGACTAGACAGCAATTCAGTAAGATACAAAGAAACAGGGATGATCTTGAGAGACACATGAAAAACTATTTTGATTTTCGTAGATAGGTACTATTTTATATAAGAAAGAATGCTCTGGATCCTTTAGATATTATTGTAATTAGAGAAGCTTTATCGATAGGAAATTAACATCTGTCGGACAAAGGGTACAACATATTGAATAGTATATACTGTTGTATATAATTATAAATATTATAGTAGAGTACTTTTGGTACTGCTAAAACATAATATCATAGTAATAAAAACCCTACATCATATACAAAAATCTTAATCTTAATTATCTATTATTTATGAAATTGCACGGACTAACATTGATTTCTCGAAATGGATGTATATTATTAACAAGCAATGTGTACCTATAACAAATTAGTGTATTAGTTACATAAGTATGTAAATGATTTTATATTTTTTGTGACGTTTAGTAAAATATGTATGAAATGCGTAACGAGTAGCCAAATAATTTATATTTGGAGGAATAAAATTGCTTTGTTTAAAAAGAAACCTATAAAACTGATTATAATCAATTAATATGTATTTGAAGAAAATGTTGGTATGGACAGTTTCATGTTTTTGTCAGTTTCAAGGTTCCTAGTAATGACATATTAATGTTTTAACAAATCAACAAATAGGTACCTAAATTAATTATCAAGCATTTATGTTTCTAAAAAAACACATGCTTTATAGCATGTACATAAAGCGTATTGAGCTTTATAAGAAATAAATAATAAACTAAAATGAATCAATAAAACAAAATTATCCAGAAATCTGTCAAACATTCTTTAAGCACGTCTAGCACTCTATGCCTGCAACTAGCGACATCTATGACCGAGTAGCAGAACTTTTCTAAAAAGCTCGAGTCTTGAATATGTTTTGAATAAGAATAACGTTTTGAAATTATTCTTAGGTATTTAAAGTAACTCGTAACTTTTTACTTTTTTAGTATAATTATGTAATTTAATTTTTTCAATCAATTAATAAATGATAGTCTTGTTTACGAAACTCGAAAAATTAATACACAACGTTGCACTTTTATACAACTTCTTTTTTCTGTTTATTTACTTTCATAACGAAGCTCCCACAGGAATAACTACTATGAAGTGTCAATTAGCAAGGAAGCATTGAAAATGAAACATAGCGTCCGTTGTTCATTTTATCCAATTCCAAAGCCAACTATAAATACTATGTACTAGATAACTGAATAATTACTCTCCCTTTTACTTATGTAAGTGATATTTCCAATTCCATCAAACACCTAACTTACAATATACAAAAAAGTTTGAATACCTACAATTGATTAGCTGTATAAAAAGCTGTATACACTTTTAACAATAAATAAGGTAATAAAAAATATGTAATGCGTTTTGTGCTGTTTACATTGAGAAATGAAGAAACACAAAAACATTAGTATACTTTAGGGTCACAGCTTCACGATTCTAAGACACGATCATAACCTTTCTATATATTAAACCCAAGTGAAATTAGGGCGAATCGCTAGTTGATTTTAAAGCGTTTTATACTTATTATTAATGTTCCTCTCAAAATAGATTATTACAATTCATTGTATTCGGATATTTAAGAAGATTTTTTTATATTAATTAGATTAAATGTAACACATCACTAACAATCGGTTTTATTGTTGTAGGAGAAAGCTCCGGGTCGTGTTCTGAAGAAGAAATAAACAATGTATCGGACGAAATCAGAGACAGGCCAGAGGCCCATATGTGTCCACGATGCCAAGAGCAGTTCGAGAGTCTACATGAGTTCCTTTATCACAAGCGACTGTGCGATGAGAAAGCCCTTCAAATGGGGGAGGAACGAATGCACTCCGACCCCGAGGAGATGGTCGTCTCCGGGGACGAGGAGATGGATGGCCCTAATAAACGACTAGAACAAGTTAGGCGGCATAGACAGGATGCCGAAAATAATAATAGCCTCGAAGATGGCGAGGCGGAGGTGCCCGAAGCCGACGTACCACCAGTAGGACTACCATTCCCTGTCGCCGGTCACGTTACACTCGAGGCGTTACAAAACACAAAAGTAGCCGTAGCACAATTCGCCGCAACCGCAATGGCAAACAACGCCGACAACGAAGCGGCTTTACACGAACTAGCCGTATTACAAAGCACACTATTTACGCTGCAACATCAACAAGTATTCCAACTGCAATTAATACGACAACTGCAAAATCAATTATCGTTAACGAGGCGGAAAAGCGATCATAACCCGAGTCCTCCGCCGAGTGAACCGGAGCCCATCATGCCAGCGCCCACCGCTCGATCACCGTCGCCGCCTCGTCCGCCACGGGAGCCAACTCCTGCTGCACCCACTCCTCCCACTAGCCAAAGCTTGCCTTCAACCCATGCGCATCTTACCCCAAAAACAGAGCCTCTTTCTATTCCTAAAATTCCAACATCATCCCCACCAATGATGACACACCCACCCTACAGCTCCATATCGTCATCATTAGCATCATCGATCATCACGAATAACGATCCACCGCCGTCCCTCAACGAACCTAATACACTCGAAATGCTTCAAAAACGCGCACAAGAAGTGCTAGATAACGCATCCCAAGGTCTATTAGCAAATAATCTTGCCGATGAATTAGCTTTTCGTAAATCTGGAAAGATGTCTCCCTATGACGGAAAGTCCGGAGGACGGAACGAGCCTTTCTTTAAGCATCGCTGTCGATATTGTGGAAAAGTTTTTGGGAGCGACTCAGCATTACAAATCCACATCCGATCTCACACAGGTGAACGTCCTTTTAAATGCAACGTTTGTGGATCTCGATTTACAACCAAAGGAAACCTAAAAGTACATTTCCAAAGACACACCGCTAAATTTCCACACGTTAAGATGAATCCTAATCCAGTGCCAGAACATTTGGATAAATATCATCCACCATTATTAGCACAGTTATCACCGGGGCCGATTCCTGGGATGCCTCCCCATCCGCTACAGTTCCCTCCAGGCGGGCCGGCTCCTTTCCCGCCGAGCTTGCCACTGTACAGGCCACCACATCATGACTTATTACCACCTCGTCCTCTCGGAGACAAACCACTTCCACCTCATCCACTTTTCGCAATGCGAGAAGAACAAGATGCTCCGGCTGATCTCAGTAAACCTTCCGCGCCGAGCCCTTCCCGATCTGCACCTGAAGTTAAATCTGAACCACAAGACGAAGAAAGTCATCGTGAATCAAGTTTTGAAGAAACAGATCGTGTATCACCTAAACGCGAACTTGATGAAAACGAGACCGCACAGGATAATGAACAAGACAGATATCCATCTACATCACCATACGATGACTGCAGCATGGACTCAAAATACAGCAATGAAGATCAAATCGGCAGAGATAGTCCGCACATGAAGCCCGATCCAGATCAACCGGAAAATCTCTCAAGTAAGAATTCACCGATATCTGGGCCAATTTCAATAGCGACGGGACTTCGTACCTTTCCTTCATTTCCCTTGTTTCCTCAATCTCCACCTAGCAGTATGTCCTCTGGTAGTATAACGCCATTCAATATATCCCATAGTGTTGTTGACACTGACTTATCAAGAGACCCTATGTTTTACAATTCCTTATTACCGCGGCCCGGTAGCAATGACAACTCTTGGGAAAGTTTAATAGAAATAACTAAAACATCGGAGACATCAAAATTACAACAATTAGTAGACAACATCGATAATAAACTTAATGATCCTAATGAATGTATAGTTTGTCATCGCGTACTTTCATGTAAAAGTGCTTTGCAAATGCATTATCGAACACACACCGGTGAACGGCCTTTCCGTTGCAAATTGTGTGGTCGAGCATTTACGACTAAAGGCAATTTAAAGACGCACATGGGCGTCCATCGCATAAAACCTCCAACTCAAATGTTGCATCAATGTCCAGTATGTCATAAGAAATTTGCAGACCCTGCTATTTTACATCAACATATAAGACACCACACGGGTGAGCGCGTCAACACTTCTTACGATCCAACCCAGAACATTGATATTAATGCTTTTCCATCATCGAACAGCGGGTCAGATGTCAACGACTATCCTTACCGACCCGTACCTCCTCCGATGTTTCCCACCCTATCCACTCCCGGCGACCGACGGGCGGACTCCCGCGGGACCGACGATGAGAGCGGCCGGGACGAGCGCGAGCCCGCTATTCGGGAGTTCGACGACGACTCTGATATGAAAGTTTGTCGAACTTCGCCGCTCTCCGTCTGCGCCTCGGCGTCCGAATGCGAAGTAAAAACCTTCACCACAACGGCTTCCCTCCCATCGGCGACAGGTTCGGAGAGCGGGCGGAGCGCACGGGCCTCGCCGCCGTCGCCGACGATGTCGACGCTGTCGACGCCGCCGCGACTGCCGCCACATTCGCCGCAGCTGTCACCGCCCGGGCCGCTTGCCGCGCTCGGCGCTCTCGGCGGATCACCCTTCAGCCCACTCGGACTCGCGTTTCCTCCCGCAGGTATGCGATAGCGGGATAATATAATTTTGTCCGCCCCGGTCGCCTAATTTCCATTCCCTTCATTTCAACCTCGTAATCCGACTAATACTCATTACCTCTACCCATTACCGGGCGCTCGAATACACGCTAAAGTTGTCACGAAGAAACCGTTCTCTCTGAGGAGTCTCAAAGTCTTAATACAATGTAATCGTGCGTTCCGACTTTGCAATTAGTGACATTGAGTTAGTATTGATCAGTGGATTTATTTGTGTACAGTGCGCGGCAACACAACGTGTAACATCTGCTACAAGACATTCGCCTGCAACTCGGCGCTTGAGATTCATTACCGCAGCCACACCAAGGAACGACCTTTTAAGTGCTCCGTCTGCGATCGCGGTTTTTCTACAAAGGTTTGCTGCATTCCTTTCTAGTTTACAACCCTAGAAATGTCCGTATAGATTTCCGTTCATGTCCGATGCCATTTAACCAGTGAGTATAAAATAAACTGAAATGACAATGCTACTAAAATGATAGTCATGTAATAGTCGCGCATATTGAGTGTCTTTGGCTTACGGCCAGTTCATACTTTATTGTTACACAAATAGCAATGCGAACACTTTTACGATATATTCACAAATTTTCACTACAGAAAACTACCTACATCAAAGTATTGTTTAGGAACAGTAAAAATACTTGAATAGATATTCATTAAAGGAGAACATTATTACGCACTATATAGTTTCGTTACAATTGTGGTTGATGCAGTGGCAGACTAAGGGGGGTGGAGAGGGGGGGGGAGCAGTCCGCCCTGGGTTTCCGACCCTAGGGGTCTCTTAATGGCTCCGCCAAAATCATAGTAATATGATAAAGTTAAAAATGTATGCGCGGGCGGGAAGCATTGTAAACGCAATATTATGTTTCTGCCCCGGTTGGAAAAAGTTGTCGATCCGGGCCTATTGCCGCCCCGGACTTCCGATGAGATTAGTCCGCCACTAGATTGATGTAAGATAAACAACGCGATGTAACTGAGTAAATTTACTATGCAGACTACAAGTCTGGCGAACTCAATGCGCTGGCTTCATTTCATGCAAGTTTCAGTGCATTAATTTTACAGGCGGTTATTACAACTCCGGTGGACTTTAGTTCCATTAGTTAGCCGTTGTTGGCGCTTCCGAGCTTCTTAGACTGACGTAGTTAACATCAGTACCGACAAACTTAGCTGTAGGCTAGTTTACTTCGGTTTAATCAAAATTGTGCAGTCGAACGTTTGCTTAACTTAGCTGTACTTACAACAGAACATTAAATATGACTAAGAAAAGTGAAGTATTTGAGATACCCGGTACAATACGTCATAAACAAAAATTAACAGAAATATTCGACGATAAAATTTTATCATAATACGATGTAAAATTTTACGATGGTACCGTTCCAAGTCATTTGAACTAGAACCTTGAAACTAAACTACCAATTTATGTCAAATGTTAGTAAACAGACATTTAGAATAACATAAAATATGAGAGAGTGCCGTACGTGCGCGTCGCATTCATCCCAGCACACGATACTTCATTCTTAAGCAAACCACTTATATTTTATTATGTCGATGCCATAAAAAAAACTTATTATAACAAAATTTATTTAATAATATCGCTTTAAGGTTTTATTGTTATTTGGGTAAAATCGAATACAAATAAATTTGTAGTGCTTAAAATAATGTAACAAGCTATATCGTAAACGCTCGTAGCGGTTCAAAAATATTGATAAAGGACTTTTCGATTAAAACGTTCAACAGTTGTCACAATACTACAATTTTAATAATAAAATACAGTTAAACGTTTACATAAAATAACTTAAATATCGTATAAATAATTAAAAAAAAAGGTGTTTAATAAAGGCTGTTTTTAGCTTTGTAAACAGAATTAATGAATGAATTATGCTTAATTGTATACCAATAATGGACAAAACAAATGAATACTATCAATTAAAATGCGGCGGACTTATTATTTAAAAAAGTAATTTCTTCAAGGCAACTTTTAAGTACAGGAAATATACAATAAAATATAGATATAATGTATCTAAATTTGAGTAGCTTACGGTGTCTCAAAAACTTATACAGTACCATTTAAATTGCCACATTTTTCAATCATAGGCCATTTTCTGCAGATTTACAATGGTTATCGTTGCTAGATTTTACTTTTAAACACAAAGTAGAATCATTTTAAAAATCTTTTTTGGCGAAATAATTTATTGTAATCCGTGATTCTGTTATGTATACGATAAAAACTTAAAAAAATATTGAAACGACTTCAAACTTTATCGCTTTTTTATTAATTTGAAGTTGGTTCTATTTTTGGTTTCTTTTAGCTGAAATACGTAAAATTAAATATATGTCATCTGAATATTTAGATAATATACATATATTGAAAAGAGTAGTTTGTTTTGTTATAAAAGGAAAACTACTGATTCGATTGATAAAAATTAAACGGACCACCTCGGTTCATTAAGCTGAATAATTTGAAATCGATCAACAATTGGCGTAAATATCGGTGAGCATACATAGAAAAAAGCATACATCGCCGTCTAACATATCATCATCGTCATCATCAACAGCCCTTTTCCGTCCCCACTGCAAGTGCTCATGCCTTCCTTATGGATGGTTCATGACCCTCCACGCTGGCCCAATGCGGATTGGAGAGTATTAACGACTGCAAATGTAGCCGAGACCAATGCCTTAACGTGCTTTCCGAAGCACGGAGTAGCTGGAGATAATGTTGACCTGTTTAAATAAAAATAATGTCTGCCTTCTAAAAGGTTTAGCATGTGTTCTTAATGATTATAAGTTAAGTTTTAAACACGTTATAATAACAAGAACACTCGAACTTTCATTAAATTATGTCCTGAACCACTTGAATTACATAAATTCTACCGATTAACGATCATTTTAATAAATTTCAATAATGTAATTTTTTATAAAAACAAATATTATTGCTTTTACATCCATTATCATGTGAAGGATTAATTCAATATATTAAATAATAAATATAAGTTTTTAAAAGCATTTTTATAGCGTTACGGGTTTTATAATCAGATCGGTCAATATTTCATGTGTGTGTAGCGGTACGCTCGCATCGCTCGCTGACCGTCGCTTGCGTCTCGCCACAGAAATGATAAGTCATAAAAATAACGTCACGGAAAACGATCGGAATATTAATTGATGTCGTAAAATATTTATTGCATATAAATCCTTGAGCCTTTACCTACGGTCCCCGTCATAAAAAGATTATTTATGTTTGACAAAGTAAAATTTTTCGTATGTTTTGGAAAGTGTCCCGGGCACTCAATAAAATGTAGATTATTTATTACGGCGCCCGTCGTGTTGAGGTTGAAACTTAAATGGCAACAATGCTAACTTGAATGAAAAAAAAACAATCACCTCGAGTTTCTACAACAAATACTGGTCATAGAAAAAAATCAAGACAAAATAGAAAAAGGGCTCACTAACTAAACAAAAATCCAAATTCTCAATACTACAAGAGAATATAAGGAGAAGTTATGACAGGATATCAATAAAAAGAAAAATGGAAATAAGATGAGGAAAGGAAAGTCCTAGATGCAACAATGTACTATGGAATAAAAGGAAACAAAAATTAACTACCTCCTTGTCAATGCAGAGAAAAGAGAACGTTGGCAACTACTCCTCTAAAATTTATTTCATTGATAATTCACTTATGATGAACATTAGACATATTTATAATAAAAAAATATTAGTACCTGTTCTGTTCATTTATCGCGTTTGTTAGAATTCTTATACTATGAATAATTTCAAACAGATTGACAAATAGTAAACACTAACGCCCAGGTCAATCAAATGATTTTGTTAGAGTCCATGAACTCCTTAATGTGCTTTAAGAAAATGCAGAGTACACAGGCCCATTAAAATGCAGAGATAAAAATGCAGAGTACATTATTGTTAAAATGTTCAGGAAATTAGGGGGGGAATGGTAAATTTTCACCTATTTCTGTCAAATAATTACTAGTTTTCAAATAAAAAAATATATATACCAATATATTTGAGATTCTCACAATTAGCCTTCATATTATATAGTCACAATTTATTGAATTTTACTTGCAATCCGAGCGACTGCTCTAACCACCACTAAGTACAGGACTGACGGACAAACTAAACTAACTTGTTAAGCATATTTTTTTCTACTTTGAAAATGTCTGATCATAATAGAATAATATATAAACAATATTTAATCTATTAACCTCACGGAATAAGTAATTTAAGAAAAATATCTACTTAAGAAATGTCCTAAGCCTTTCCTCGGTACCATTTTTGTGAGATAAACATGATAACTAGTGGGAATGAGGATTGCAAACTAAAGAACATGTGGTATAAAATAAAATATACATTTAATTAATAATAAATCACAGCAAATAAACTACATATAAAAACAAACAAAGATAATCAAAGTAACAACAGCAACAAAAACAGTAAAAAAAAACAAAATGTATAATAAATAAATAAATTTATAAAAAGGATGGTATCTTTCCAGCCGTTCGTCAACAAAACGGACAGTGTAATTTAAATTTTAATAATTATGTATATGTTCACATCATAGATAAAGATTTCCGTGACTTTTAACACATGCACTGGAATTATTAAAGACCAATGGTCATTAACCTACTCCTGAAAATCAATATCCTTTACAAAATAATAAATATTATTAAAATATAATTTTCAAATATTTGGCAAATTAATGATTGTGAGCAATTCAAATGTCAGAATATTACTTTCATAAAAAACATAATTTATACGAAACATTTTAATATTCATTTGGGTTTGTTCCTTTAAATTAACGATGTCTATAAATTGTGCCCTTTTATTGAACGCTTTCCGAGTTTATAAGTTTAACATGATGTTGATTTTTGAGGCGTCTGTTGTCTTATTTTCTTTGTGTATACAATAAAATATTTTGCGTACTATTCTTTTAGCGATCAAGTTACAAGTGATAATTTACACCACCATAAAATCGATAAGAAATCATTTTGTTTTATTTACGGTAATCTCGTATAATAAGGCCCACCGATTTTGACGGCTCTGGATTATTTAAAAGTCAACTAGGTGAGTCTCAATTTCAGTGCCGCACTGACTGATTAATAATGGGAAGAATGTTATTTAAACCTGTCTCAGGGTGGTTTTTAAGAGCGCAATGGTCAAAAATGTTGGGAATTATAAGACGGCAGTATCTTATAAAAATAAACTCAAATTTAATAAATCCATTTGATTAAAATCTTTGATCATAAAAAAATAAAAGACAGATATTAAATAACTCCATATTTATTATGTTGTGCATAGCTTATTGGCACAGTGATTAACGAAATATTTATATGAATAGATATAAAAGTT